AGCCCCCGTCCTTCTGGGAGGAGGGAATCGACAAGCTGCCCGAGCGTTGGCGTCGAGTAGTGGATGGAGACGGTGCCTATCTCTGATCTTCTAGTTAGTTCGTTTTTGAAAAACTTTAAAAAAGTTCGTGGCGGTTCGTGGCGGAAGACTTTGTACACAACCTAATATTAAAGGCACAGCTCACGATAAAAATGTTTTCTTAGATTTTCCTTCCGAATACGCAGCGGCCCCCAGAGTAACAAAAAGAACGCTGTCGGCTCCAAAAATTCAAGAGCTGAAGCACACTAAGAGCCCCATCACGACCGATCGGATGCCACGCTCATGGACCGATATTATAATATATCAGACGAGCTGTAGAGGCGGTACAGATTGCAATATTCGCGCGAGGACCTACGCACTCTTCACGCAATCAGCTGATCGCTGAGTGATGAGGCGATGTTTCCCACTTATTCTATTCTTTTCCATTGGTCTTTTGTAGCTGCGGTCACTTTTCTACACTGTGTGCAAAACTTAGGGATGAGGTGAATGTAAAGCGTAAAATAAAAGTGTAAATGTAAAATTTAAAATGTAAAATAAAACATTCAGGACTGGGTGGAGATAAATGAAAGCGTTGGACTAGCCAGACCTATAACTCGTCTGCACAGGAAGCTGGAATTCCCTTCATGGAGGAATAGTTCAAATAAGGCACAAAATATAGCTGCCGCGCAAATCGATGCAGTTGATAAGTAAATGGCGAAAAAAATTGCCATCGAATAGCTACAAGATACTGTGGTGGTTTCCTTCTATACATCATGTCCCGCAGACATCATTTGGATGACTCACGTGAGGAAGGATCATCAGAAAGTTCGAAGAATGCCGGCCGAACCATGACGAGTGTAGCTTAGGAGCTCAGTACCGCTCACAGCGTCTTTCTACGTGCACGTAGAGCATTGCGAACCATTTGTACTGCTGTTCGAAGGACAGGAAATGGTCGACCAAGAAGGTCCACCCTGTTAGCCTTAGGGGCCAGTGGGTATTGTTAAAGGGAGAACTCAGTGACCATTTTTATCATGAACCGTGCCTTCCGTGTTTTTATTGACTTATGAATGGTTGAACTTTAAAAGTCATTTTCGCTTACTGTAGTCAGCATGCGCACCGGGACCCACAAGTACGCAATAACACACATTGTATAACACGTACAACGTGTTGGCCGACCAGCTCAACACGTTGTACGTGTGAGTGCTGATAAGCTATGGCATATAAGCCATTAAGAAGGCGAGGGCAAGCGGGGTCTCGGTAGTGTAAGGGATAAGAGCACGGTCCCCGGAAAGGACAAGTACGGGTNCGAGTCCCGTCCGAGACTGGAGTTTTGCCCACAAATCGCCATTCTTGTGAGACTTTCGCTTCGCGTACTGCGGCGGTAAAACAGCAGTTAACAAAACATCAAGTCAAAACAAGTACTAACCCACTGTATAGTTCGTCCTGAGGCCTCTTCCCCTTTATTTTGTTCTGTCTTATTCTTGTCGGCCCCTTTTTATCGGCTTTTCGACGCTTCAGATATCACTTCAGGAACACCTATCCTTCGCCTCCTTTCTACACCTTCGCTTTCACTTTTCGTCATGTACATGATATTCTAAAATTATCATGAACTAGGCCTTCAATTATCTGTTCGTCTGTTGCACACATCACTTACTTTATCTTTGAGTTTGAGCTAAAAGCAGTCTGTTGACGTCTGATCCAGGAAAAAATGGTAATTGGAAAGAGGATTTCAGGGTATCACTGATTGGCAACAACCCCACTATTACTTACAACGGATAGATTCTGTCCGTTGTTATTATAATAGTAATAGTTTCCCCCAAGCAGTTTTAAATTTATTGTTTTGTTATTTCATACTTACGCAACTGCTTTGCATCTCTTCTATAGTCTTAATCTCAGACACCTCGTACAAGTTCCGCACACTTTGGAGATTCGAAAACTTTTTTCTGAAAGCTTCAGACCACCTTCTTCCGCGTACTAGAACATTTCTTCATGAAGTTGTAAATTTTTATTT